GGCTCCTTTATCCGGTCTAGATAACAAAACATTCTCGTTTTTCTTGAGTTCCTTCAGAGCGTCCAAATGCCTGTTCTTTAGAAGATATTTGATGGTCGGTTTGTACCTCAGGTACTGGTAGCATGTGTTTACCAATGTGGATTTGTACTGTTCAGCTGCTAATGCTGAGGATGGTGTTAAGGTAGAAACTTGAGAATAGAGATTTTCGAATTGGACTTCCAAGTCTAACTGTTGTACATTAGCTCGGGGGTAACAGAATTTCGGGCCTAGTGAGAGGACTTCCATTTGTGCTCTATCTAATTGCAAAGAGGAGAAATTGTGCACGTACTTCTCAGGGTCAGGTGGAAACGAGTTACTCTGCCTTACTGAAGCGATCTGTCGCCGTAATGAGGCTATTCGTACTTCCACTTGCCGAGCCATAATTCGCTGAACGAATGATTCGAACTGTTTGTATTCCTCATCGTCCAATTCACTCAGTGCGTCGGAGTAGCTACACCGTTTGCGGTAGAGTTCATCAATCCGAGAAACCACGGTATCTCGCTTGTTCAGAATGTGGCGCTTCAAAGCAGTGCTCGTTGGCTTAACTCCATTACGTCTGAGAATCTTCCAAAAGTGTTTGGGATATTCACTACGAAAAACGCACTCAACCAAAAACTGCACCGTCGCCTTCGCTACAGCAAGTCTCGTGTTGAACCTAACGTACTGTTTTAGATTCCAGAGTGAAGGAACACTTACCAAACTGGGTTCAGCGCGAAGTTACTCAATCCACCTCGGATGATACGTGCTCACGTAAGCCGCCAGCGTCCTCCATAGGCAGGCACATCTTGGCGACTCGTCACCGGGTTAATCCCTTATCAGCGTTCCGGATCTTTTTACATCATACCAATGCACGCCTTTTACGATTTGCCGAGGCCGTCGCGATAAGCCGAATTAGACCAGCTTTGTGTGTCCAAAAGCAATTAGTTGTCAACCTGCGGTTGCCGTGGACCTAATCCCATCAACAATGACCACAACCATAAATTTGATTGGCTTGACTGTGCCCTGTAAGACATATAAAAGGATTTCCCTGTTATTGTATTGGTACTGATGAGATAATACGAAATGCTAGCATCTGCCAATATTCGTCTTCTCATTTCGTGGTTCTAACGTACTGTGTTTGTTTTATTCCTATTATCTGTGGTGTAGTGGCCTGATGCGAACCACCGAAAACAAGCTTGTTAGCCTAACGGTCTTTTGCTTCTGATGTCATCTCAGGGATTATTTTCTCAGTTCAACAACAACTGCCGTGACCTGTGGCAACTTTTGAAACAACTGTGTGGTAAAGGCTCTGGTAAACAGCTAAGGGATGTAGAAGTGGATAAACCCAACTCTGAATCCCGATCCGCCCCGCAAAATGTTTGCTCTCTGTTTATATTTCGCCCGCTGTCACCCTCTGCAGCTGGTCCAACATATGCGTTTCAACACCTCGAGGTCTACCAGGAACTCAATAGGCCGAAGGTGAGGAAGGCCGGAGGACCTGATGCTATATCACCAATGGTTTTAAAAGAGTGCGCCGACTCCCTGACCTTACCTTTAACACATCTGTTCAATTGTTGCCTACACAGTGGCACTATTCCCGACATTTGGAGACCCGTCAGGATAACGCCAGTCCCAAAAAGAAGCTCAGAAATTCCGTCCCATTGCTTGTACATCTGTCATGCTGAAAGTCTTAGAACGACTGCTTATTCCTTTAATTTCTACAAGCGCCCCGTTACTGATGCCTCTCAGTTTGCTTATAAACCCAAACACTCCACTTCGGATACAGTGGCCTATCTCCTTCACTCAATGGCATCTGTGTTAGATGTTAAATGTAAGGCAGTACGTCTACTTTTCCTGGATTCTTCAAACTGGATTATTCAAGCTATTAGTTACAAACGGCGTCCAACCTGCGGTGTGTAATCTAATTGGAAATTATTTTACAAATCGCTCGCAATTCACCCAACTGAACGGCAAAAAGTCCTCCACTATTGGTAACGACTGGAGTCCTTTACAGGGCGCAATCCTCTCTCGCGTTTTGTTTTCCTTGTACATCGAGAGACTACTTATTCCGTCACGTTTTATTGAATGTAAATATGCTGACGAGGTTGTTTTAGGCAGCGTTTTCCCCCACTAACGAGTCATTCTCGGCACAGCAAAAAAGGGTTGGATGAGCTTGAGTGGTGGTCATCTTCCCGATCGCTCGTCTTCAACGCTTCAAAGTGCCAAAACTTAACCTTTCTCTTCTCCATGCTGACAAATGTCAAACTTTGTCTAGTGCTTCGAGCTCCATTGTTGTTAACGAATGCATCATACCTAGTTCATTCACTGTTAAATATCTTGGTGTGTATTTATAACAAAACTTGGTGTGGTCTAAACACACCGAAGAAACTTTGCGCAAGGAAAGAAAACTATCATTTTATGCCCTACGGCTAGAGGTGCTTTCAGTACCACGGTTTTTATTCTATAAATTTGTAGATATCTGTACTCTCCCTCATTGGTTGTACTGCTCGCTTGTTATCTTCCTCGGTTTTCTTCAAAAAGACTTTACAATTATTATCCGTTCGATAAGCTCATCTCTAGATGTAGTGGGATACCCCGAGAGCCTCTTGTAAACTTCATTGTTACCAGGCATTTTGATGAATGTCACAGATTTCAAATGATCCCTAACACCCACTCTAAGATGAGTCAACGAAAACTCGCTCCTTCTCATCTACACGCTCAAAATTTAAGGTTCTGTATTCTCGTACCGCTTCTTATCATAACTCTGTTTTGCCTTATTTATCACGTCTTCTAGTGAACTCTACGAAGGTCGTTGATGTCACGCGTGAACGTTTGCTTGGGTTAATCTATGTAAATTATGTCTTTTAACCATTTGCCAGTCTTTTAAGTAGACTACTTTTTTACTGAAATCTTATATATATATATATATATATATATATATATATATATATATATCCGCAGTTCTAGTGTAGAAAAGTGCTAAAAATGTGCTCAGTCGGGTACATAAAGCTTATTTTGACTTGACTTGAAGGAAGAATGAAGACTACCATCTATTCCGGGTATTGCAAAACAACGAGTATCCAAAAATTGCATCAGAAGAAGCCTAAAGAGTGCCACAACAACAGCGGGAAAACGTACATATAAACGGGTAGCGCTTCCTTACATCAAGAACGTATCTGAACTAACATCGAGATTGCTACGACCACATGGAATCTTGGTAGCCCACAAACCAAAAGGTACTTTGAGAGGATTGCTTTGGAAGCCGAAAGACAAAGTCAAACAAGGCAGTCAGAATGATGTTATCTAGAAAATAAACTGTGAAGAGTGCGACAAACACTGCATCGGGCAAACGGGAAGGAAATTTTCAACACGGATCAACGAACACAAAATGGTCATACGCACAAACGACCCGGATTCACTGGTTTCCTTGAATGAAGACCAATAAAGGCATCATTCCGACCTAGAGAAGGTAAAGATCCTAGCCGGTGGAAATTCGAGGCAAGCTGGAGAATTCTCGGAAGCGTGGTATTCTACTGACAATTCAATAAACCGACGCATTGAAATATATGCTATATATACAGCATTACAAATGGAAGATCTCCGAAGTAGTCAACTAAATCTAACGGAAAAGAACGTTGGACGAATGCTCTAAACGAAGACGTCAATCAAAGAGCGTGCGTGCTTAACCTACGAGGCACGATTTCGATAGTCATGTGCCCGTTGAAGGATCCAAACTCAGACTGACGGCTAGAAGATCGATCACTCACACCCACTGATGATTCGTACCGCGCCACTACATATAAGTGCACTGACGATGTCACCTCGAGTGGCGATGAAGCGTTTGCAGTCAAACTGCCGAGCGCAGCGAACACTCAGACCACCAACTGAATAACCTGAGCTAGTAACATTAGCTTCTACATCGCACTAACACACACACACACACACACACACGATATACACGTTGGCTAGAGATGGAAAACACCTCAGCTACTGTGCCGCAATATCTAAAAGAAAAAAGGAATAAAATGCAACAGGTGCAAGCCATCTGAGCTACCGGTAACGGATGGGCATCGTTCCGGTAAGCTACCAGCCGGCTAGTATGCAGCAGAGAAAAAAGATAATTTATTAGGCAAAATTATAAAATGCTAAATAATGAGCGTGGTTGGAGGAGGAGGCTAAGAGGAACGAGGTGGGATAAAGAAACTCACAGCAGGAACGCCACTGAGGTCAGCTCCTTGCCATGTCAGCAAGTGTGTCCAGCCGAACGTGTTCACCGTCTTTTGGACCCTAACCAGTGAACCGAGACACTCCAACCGAGGCCAGCACAGAAGTGAAGGCCTTCATTCCTCTTGGCCAAGTACTCGCTTGGCCACCCCTCCACTTCTTCCATCCACATCCCCGGTGAGCAAACAACACACGTCGTGGAAGTCGGTGGGCTGGCATGCGTAACACGTGGCCGAGCCATCGGAGCCTGGTGCGTGAAACGATGGTGCTGAGCGGTTCATTTCCTTTTCCTGTGCCGCAAACACGGCGTCGAACACGCTCGTTGCTCACGCGGTGTTCCCACCGGTGGTCGAACGTAACTAGCATCTTTATGTCCGCTGATCTAAGGGGTCAGGTTTCACAACCGCACTAACAAGATAGATAAGGAGCCGCGAACACAGGAGAATGTTGGGTGAAAAGCACCCGTCCACTCTAAGATCCGAAAAGAAAGTACAGAGGTATGATTAGCGGTGCGTCGGTCAGTTTCCATAGGTTAGAGTGCTTGAAGTGTATTGTATTCTGGAATTTCTAGGTCGCAAATGTGGATCAGCACTAAAAGCGAAAGATGTTTTTCAAAAAGAAAAATAAGTCTATTATTACTGCTCAGTTTAGACACTGGATCAGATTGTACTAAAAAGCCATGGTATTCGGGTTACCACATGGGACACCGGTGAACACTCAATCAACGAGAGACCGCAGATGAAAGCAAAAATACTTACTAGGCTGACACTTTCGATGCATCACTGATGCGGCCCATAAGCGAGTTCTGTGGGCATCCGACCGTACCACACACTTCATTCTGACCGACTGTGTCGTTGTAACTGTGTCCATCAGTGACAACAAAATAGAGAGGTGGGCCGACACGGAGGTCTGTGGCCATTGTGTTGAAGAAGCCCAACATATATGAATCCTCCGGCATAGATAGACGCTGATCCAATCCGATGTGGGTGCCGTTTGGAATGATCGCGATGGCAATACAGGCCCAAGCCAAGCTGAGCACGATTACGATTGGACGAACCCAACGGGAAAGCAGAAACGGAGTGAAACCATGCGCAATAGCTCGGTGTAACAAGGGCATGGAATTTGATTCTATGTGAAAACGCAAGAGAAAAGGCGTATACAAGTTGTGTGGGGGTGGAATAAGGCATACAATTGGTCCGCACAAAGGAAATGAAAAGTATAGCGCTGACGCACCATTAACGTGCACCTCCGGAGGCATCAAGTTGGGCAATCGGACGTCATCCATGGCATCGGAATCAAGAGACAGGGAGTCTAGTTGAGCGGTAGGTAGTTCGGCTGTCAAATTTCGTCGATCATCCTTATCCACGGTGTGGGGAACGATATCAATTTCATCAAGAGTATCGTTCAATCCGAAGCAACAGAAGACATCAAATCTACGTGCCTGCAACCGGAGGAAAAGCAGGGTTATCAGTGGTGTGCACAAATGGGGCATTCATCAAACGAAAGGGACTCAGATCTCTGTAGACAGACATAAGCCAGGATGTCAATTGGGGCCATAGCACCGAAACGAGAACCAGCACGTACCGCCCATCGACGCGAGTCCAGTGTCAACAAGGCGACGAATGCGGATAGCTGGAGAAGCAAGTTGAATGCAATCGCCATGCCGGCGTACAATGCGAAAACCCGAACAGCTGGCATGTTGGTGAGCGAACCTGTAGTGTGGTGGATGAGGGGTGGGGTATAAAAAGAAGTCATCAGTGTGTCAGGACACAAAACGAGCGAAGCGAAAGGAAATCCTATCAAAAATGAATAAGTGCCAATCGATAGAGAAGTTCTGAAATGCAGTGTGCATACTGAGCAACAAAAGTCAAAGGTTAGTGGCAACTGTATGGAGGGAGACAGTGGCTCACAGCATGCACGGCAAAAGTGAACAAATGAAGAGGTAAACAAATGGGGAACTATAGAGGCAACCAACCATGAGAGTGCGTAAACTCACCACAAAAGAAGGCAACGGATTCCGCTACACTGGATAGCAAAAGTGAGGGGCCAACGCGTCCTAATGCACGCGAAATACGAGTTTCCACCAGGTTTTTGATTGCTGATTTGAGCTGAGTCGGCGTTACAACCACACGCAGTTGAGCCGATTCTCCGGCGACAGACTGTGCTGACAGGTCGACAGAACGGAAACCCGCTTGTCTCAAACGGACCGCTTCTTTGCGCAGCAGCCTGTCCGCATCTGCATTATCGAGTTCGAAGCCATGGACCAAGATAAAAATGTTGTCCACACCCACTGCTAGCACCAAGAACGGGATCACCTCGATGATGATCAGCGTAGCGGGGGTGCCAATGTAACTCCATAGACCAACAGAGGCGACAACTGACAAAATGACAATGAGCACACCGCCAAGACCCAAGGTGATTCGCATATCCACCTGGAATAGATGGAAAGTTTTAACACCTTGATAAAAAGGTGACATTAACTAGACCGATATGGTGGTAAGGTAACGCAGAATGTGCACGTCCTTCCGTTTATATTAATTATCACATTGATCGATGGAATAAAGAATGGCAACACATTAACAAAGACATGCAAAAGCGAAGACGCATTGTAAAGTTATGATTGAATCGATGATCATTCGCTAACGAGGAACCCCAGCTTCAGATCGTATGGACTACCGAGTGGCAAGACAACAGCTAATCCGGATTTGAGTAGAAGAGTTGGACGAATCATCGTCACTATCAACCGCAGTAGCACTGTACCAGGTAAACAACAGGGAAGAGGAGTAATTTCCGACACCGCAGGTATTCGTGTGCCGATGAAGTGGCATTAGCAAGGTAGATGAATAATGGTTTTCATTAAGTAGCGTGTCAAAGTTAACCCCGCAAGCAAGGTAACATCCTCGTATTTTGAGCAGATCAATCAACAAGATGACAAGAAAACACCACCAGTGTATTATGGGACACATGTTTTGTAATGTATAGAAGGATGCAGCGGCAATACGAGAGCACACTGTATCGATACTCCGCCACCACGCATACAACACATGTCGCGCGTGGGTTGGGTAAACTGCGAGGTCGCCACTGCACGTACGCAGATTCGAACCGTTGACCTCTGCTGGCATGCTCCCAGTCCATTCCACCACGGGCTGGCTGTCATGCATACGAGTTGAATCGCGTGTACTCCAGATTGGAAGTAGAAAAGAGGCAACAGCAAATGGAGCAGTGACAAGAATTCTCGCTGCCGGATGAACGCTGCTATCCTTGAAGCTGACATTGCTCCGCATCCCATAAAAGAAACAAAATTCTTCGCATTAAAAAACGAGTGCCGCGATAGACACGCACTCGATGAAACGCATCTACACCAGCTGTATTCTTTGAATCCATGAATTAGACTTATCATCAGTTGATCCTTGCGGACAGTTCGGCGCCCCACTGCAGTAGAACACGGATCCGTAGTCGACGATATCTGACCAGAGGGGTCGAGTTTTCATGCCACGGAGATGAACCCCAATCACGAGGATCGGGTGTTCTCGAACCATATGACTAACAAAGTCCCCTTCCGTTGCCGCGTGTACAAAATGGATATAAAGATGATTCTGGTCTATTCATAATGAAAATAGTTTCGGTAGGCCCACACATGACTTGATCAACTATCTCCAGTCCTCATAGTCAACCATTGAAGAGCCACCAGAAGAGCCCAGACTGCTCACCCACACCCGTCGCACCAATTCGAGTGCGATAATCCCAACCACGTCGCAACAACATTTCCGCAGCCAATGACCGGAGCAAGACCGCTAAACACAAGGATTCACCAATGAGAACGAGGCTAAATTAATAGCCCTGTATGCCTATATAAGGAACGGAGTGGTTGCTGACCGTATCCATTATTGGGTTTGCTTTCTATCAGCTACTGCTACTTAACTGCTATCAATCCCGCACTGAAGACGCCACCACCAATGGTGGCGAAACGTTTGCAATCAAGTTGCCCAACTCGGAGAACTCCACAACAACTGAGCAAGCCTCCCGAGCTACCAAGATTCCAAATCAATTCGAGCCACCAAGCAGCAAGTGTGACTGTAATATCAAGTGCAAAACACCGGCCGAAAAATAGAAGCAGTATAGACTGTGCTGCCACACGATTGCCACACAGGAACAAAAAGGTAAACGGGGAGAAACAAGGAAAGGGTGGGACTTGTCTAATGAGACCAGGAACAAACACACCATAGCGATTAATACACTGAGGAAGAAAAAACACATTTCAGCTAAGGTGCCGCGATACAAAAATGACAAGACAAAAAAACTAAAAAGGTAATATACTGTTAAACATAATATTATGCAAAAGTACGAGACCGCTGTTGGAAGGAGAAGCTAAAGGGGAGGATGAGGAGGGACAAAGAAACTTACAATACAAACACCATTGAGATCGGCTCTTCGCCATGTCAACAAGTGTATCTAACCAAAGGTTTTTATCATCCTTCGGATCTCAGCACGTCAGTCGAGAGACACTAACAGACGCCAAGTCCAAAGTGAGTGATTTCATTCCTCCTGAACAGGTTCTCACTTGGCTCCTCTCTTTTCGTTTTCCATTCACACCCCAATCGTGCAAACAACGCACGACGCGGGAACCGGTGTGCTGGCACGCCTATAATCCCTTACCGTCGTCTCATCATACACTCCGTATCATAGCTACATGTTGAAACATGGGTTGACAGCATCCTTGTCCGTATTTGCCTATCACTGTGGTCTCCACGGGGACAGCCACAGGACGCCTGCGCCTACAGAGGGACCATGGCTGGTTTGCGCTGCACCACCCCCGCAGCTCATATCCGGTATAAACCCGAAAGAATATGATCACGGAGGCATGTGGATGGGAGCCACGTTTCATCAACGGAGCCAGCCCACACTCCTTCAACAAGCAGAACAGAGGCATTCCGGCCAAATTGGGAAAGCATGCACACCAGACATACACAATGTGGTGGCTGGGCCGTAGCCCGTTCCACACAGAATGGAACCACTCTTTGAACCTAGCACCGTCACGAGGATCGTGCACCCCGTCCCCTCCAGCAACGAACAACTGTCTCCTGGAGCCAGTATAGTTACGAGGTAGTGGGTAATAGACAGGTAGGCACTTTGTCAACATTCACAATAGGCGTAGGCACACCGGGGAGCTCAAACAACATCTACTTTTGAAATGCACGATTATTCAGCACGCAGGCAAATGTACCCCATACGCCGCCTTATTGGTCTGGTTTAGTGAATCGCATGGGAACGGACGCATTGTGGTTCTATCCCGCGTGTAACAGTGCCTTCCCCTGCACCAGGGAAACCTCCCTCTTGATCAGCCCAAGAAACTCACACCGATCAAACCTGTCTTTAATTCTCAACGTCTGAAACTCACATTAGATCGTCATAAACTCACCGTGTTCATGTCCTGGGAATGTTACTTTCGGTTTGCCCGCGTGTCGCTTCCGTGCACTAAGTTGGCCGTACAAAAACTGTATGAGTATCCTCGTCAAATGCATTCGGTATACATATATACATCCACTGGGGTCACCCGTGTCCAATGGCAGTTCGAATACAACATATGCACATGCGTTTATGCAAACGTAAGTAGGAACTACCACAAACTGAATAGAAGCGCAATAAACCTCATGTACAAAATAGTACTACAAACGTACATGGGTTTCGTTTGGAGGTGGGGCTTACGGTCATTTGCGCACGCAAGAGAATAAGTACCCAGTACGCTGTTCACGTTTTCTTTAACATTTAGACGTGAACGCAAATGACAGCCTTAAGTCTTGGAAATCCATATATGAGCGAAACCGTGCCGTCAGTACGGGCACCATATATATAAATAAATAAATAAATAAATATATATATATATATATATATATATATATATCAATCTGTGTACAGGTATCGTGTCATCGAAACCGTGGGGGGAAAGGAAAACGGGGTAAGATTAAGTGAAGAAAGAAAACAAACAAATGTTTGAGTTTTTGATGTTTTTATTGTGGGTGGGAAGGGGATGATCCATCCATAGTTCGTCAGTGGGCGAGATACTACCTGCTTGCCCAGGCCGAAGTAGAGGGTTCTTAGGGGGCCCCACCCCGAGCCTTTGATCAAAGATCTAACCTACAAGACAGCAGGGCGATATGAGGGTGTCGCAAACCGTTGGGAACCAGTGACCAAACAAGTGGTGCATACGCCTTTAGGACCGCAAAGGACCAGGGGCCCAACACACCACTGAATACCAATGCTAATCAGAGAGAAGCAAGGGGTAGTGACTGCATTTAGTGGCGAGTCACATGCGCCACGTCACAGTGTTGTTAAACGGACCTTTGTGGCTTTTTATAGGGAGAACGCTTGCCAGGCGAAAACCCACCACGTCCTGGAACACTGCCGCCGAACCATTCGCTGGAGTGGGATAATTCCGGACCACCCACCTGGCACCACGAGGAAGTTGTTCGGCAAGCCAGGTAGAGGAATAAATAACCAAGTGGTACAGTAAAATAGTGTATACTTAAGTGTTGCCTCTATATGTACAGTTTGGTTTGCGTAGCTGATGAGAGAGATCGCACAGAGTGCGAATGCGATGAAGTGTTCAATTTAGGCCCGCCGTGTCGCCTGACCGGTCCGATCATCTGCTGTCCGAAGTACTTGCGGATTCTCAAAGAACGATTTTGCGCAACCATAAGCTTTAACAGGTGGCAATACCACATATTCGCCGCTTACGGCCTCAATGGCACGACAACAACCGCAGTACTATATCAACTATGTCCCGCTGCTCACTGCCAAACATGCATCTTACAAAACAATATTCGCACTGTTTTGCAAATGTCCAAGAAGTAACATAGCTGTCATCCAAGTTCTCAACCGTTTGTATATACCGTTGTGTATCCTGATGTGGCCATAAGCTAGTTGGTAACGATCAGCATCGTACGTCTCGGGTGCAGCCATTCGATGTTCATAAAATAAACAATTGTCGCTACGCGGCGATTCCTTTCCGATGTAACACACTAGGACACTGACGTACCATAATCGTTGGAACTACCTTCTTCTTAGACTACCCAGAAGATTGGCCAAGTACAATTCCATTTCTAGTAGAACCTTTGTGCTTTCACCTTCAACTCTCACAATACGTGCGTTTTCATAAGCGCAGGTAAATTCATTATGGTTGATGAACAACAGGTGATATGGTTATGCGCATTCTCATCACTAACATGTGGAGCGAAACATAAACTGTCGACATCATGAAAAACGCTAGCCAGTCCATCATCGGGTTAGTTCACTTGCCACGGATTTTCCAGGACGATTTGTCTTCAGATGCGTGGTCCAACGAGGGACACTCGTTGTATAGTGTATTCCAGCGGCTAAGCGCTGGTAGCGTGTGATTCGCCTTAGTATCGAACTGGAAACACTCAGTAATTTTCCACTCTAGCATCGATGCGTATTAACAATACAGTGCGCTCGGAAA